CACCTCCATCTTTATCACCACGTCCGTGATGATGATGATCATCATCACGTCCCTCATCGTCATCATCACCTCCATAATCATCACCATGTCCATGATGATGTTCATCATCACGTCCATCGTCATCATCATCATCGGCGTCTCTATCATCATCGTCAGCATCCACGTCGTCATCATCATTATCATTGCCAGATCATGTTCATCCTCCCCTCCTCCTCCTCCTCCTCGTCCTCCTCCTCCTTATCATCATCATAATCGTCTACATCATCAACAACAACATCATCGTCATCGCACAGCCAGCCCTATCGGCCAGAACTCGGAAAGGCACTGAGAAACACAACAGCAACAGCACCGTTTGTTGGATTGTCATCTATATGTCAGTAGTGACTTCACGCAAGAGTGTTTCCAGCAAGACTGCTACTGGTAGTAGACATGTTTGCGCTATCCGATATTGGTAGCAGCAACGCTTCAGGTAGTACTGCTATCACGGCTACATGAGATCTCAATCTATCTGCTCGTCTACTTGTCTGCCTATCTACGTCTACGTATCGACCTATCTACCTATCTACTCATTCACCCATCTGCCTATCTACCTTCCCACTTCCCGCCTACCCATCTATCCATCGATCCATCAATCGGGCGAATCTATCAGTCTATCGATCTATCTGGCTATCTATCTACGCATGTACACATGTGTACATGTATATATGTATGTATGTCTGCTTTTATACATTTCCACGCACACATGAATATCGAGATGCATATGCATACATGTTTATGTACAAAATGTATATATTGATATACGTGTTCAGTATATAGGTCTAGGTTTAGTATACTGGTATATGCGTGTATGTGTTCATGTGTAGTTTTGGTATCGGAGCGGTCGCCGAACGTTCTATATTAAGATTGGGCATGATGTAGTGGCACTAGCAATAGCCGTCATCATACCAGAAACCTGCTAGTGATCTTCAGTTGTCTATTGTGTTACCTTTGCTCTATGTTATGACCGCGCACCCTCACTTCGCGCCAGCGAGGCCGTCCTATCCTATCCAGAGTAATGGCCCAATCACCGCCATAGTCACAGTCAGAAGTAGGAACAACAAGCCCGCTAAATGATTTGTTGTTGAGCGTGCCGTACCAGCGTTGTCATGACTGCTCTCGTTTTTTGTTGCTTTCTGGAAAATCTTGCCCTGAGTATTCGTTCAATGAACGTCGTTGCCGGTCGCAGGTCTCCTCTGTCAACCTTGGCCTACAAAGGGCCGTGAGACAAGGAGCAGTCGTGCGCAGCTGGGCCAGATCTCGTGCGGGTGTCAATTTTGGGATGTTGGGATGCGGGTCCACAAGGAGATGGTGTTCAGGGCTTATGTGTTTAGGATTGAAATCCGAAGTGACCGCAACTTGAGCCACGAACGACAACAAAGTCAAAGACAACGACTGACCAGATTTGTCATTGCTGTTGCTCATTCAGTTCTGTTGCCCGGTCCATATTGATGTGAGGTGATTCTGTCGCATGCTGAACCTCCTTCTATTTTAGCCACTGTTGTGATCTTGCTTCAACTCGTGCCTCTTCTTTTTCTTCTGTGTTTGAGTTATGCGCGATGTAGAGTTTGGGTGGGCAGGATTCTAGACTTTGGCACCTGCTGGGTTGCAAGTGGGCAGTCAGCAGAGGAAGTCGGCCGACCCGGATCGCTTGCTACTCCCGCTCTCTCTCTCTCTCTCTCTCTCTCTCTCCCTGCCTCTCTCTCTGTCTGTCTGTCTGTCTGTCTGTCTGTCTGTCTCGATCGACCCCCCTTCTCTCTCGGTTGAGCCTCGGAGTACCCCATCTGCTAAGCCAACTCTCAGAGAGGCCCTAGAACCATCAGATACAAGAGTTCCAGACTCTCGGGAGAAAATCGGGAGGGACGTCGAAGTCTCACAGGCCGAGGTGAGGCTTCGCGGGTGCTTTCTAAATGCCGTGGAGGAGCGTATACCTGTTTTGTGAATACCGATCTTCTTGTTGTTGCTTAGCTGTCTTCTCTGCATTTAGATCACCATGCTTTCATACAGTCTCGTTCTAACTCCCAATCGGTCCTGTTAGTTGTCGTCTCCTGTGAAGGTGGCAGCGTATTCTGCAAGTACATGTTCAAGTTGCTATGGCATCAGTCTGACGCCTTGGAGGGTCGGAAACACTCATCCCTGAACCCTAAAGCCTCAGCGCCAGCAAACAAGTCAGATCAGAATGAGTGGGTGACTCCAGTCTGAGAGCGCTCTCCTGGGACCCTTTCTAAGACGAACGCCGATTGAAATAGCACTGGTCAGATGATGTTGTTTTTGCCGATGATGACGATGGCGGTCTTGACAATCTTCTTCTGCACACTGCACAGCAAAACAATGTAACATACTCTCATATGCTATAGCATACGACAGTAGTGAGTACTATGGTATGAAATAGTGTCCTCGGCAGACGAATGTACAGTAATCTGGTCGTCCTTGTGTTTTGATTCTTCCGGCGCTTTCTTCGCATCCGAGGCAGCGGACGACCGGGGCCACCCTCGTGGCCGCCCCCGGCGTTGAGAGACGCAGGCCTTGCCATGAGTACCGTTTCTCATTATGATGGCAACTTCAATTGCCGTCGCTATTATTGTCATGCCAGCTGCAGCACAAGGCGGGGGAGCCATTATAGAGGTCAGTAGTAGCAATCCCCCTTGCTGGTCCCCATTATGCTATAATCGTTTTTGCCCCCCAAACTCTATTCCAGTCATGCAGACCCATAAATCATGCAGGGGTTACGCCTGGCATTGAGTCCTTCGAGGCAGCCACCCCAAGCCCGAAATCCCGTATCTGGTGCGGTGATTAGCAAGGGCATTGACGGGCAGGCCTGACCCACCACACCCTGAGATTGTGCCTCAAAGTGCAGCAACATTGTGAATCTCCCGCAGCCCGGCAACTCATTAACCAACCCGCACTCCATTGGAGGCCGCTTCGGAGCTGCGGCGCCGCCACAGTGCCTGGGCAACAAACTTTTCGTTGGGAGAGGAGCGGGCAGAAAAGGATCAACACATCGATGATTATAGGCCTGTCGGACTTTGGGATCAGGGACCACGGCTGCTTAGTTTCCTCCATCAACCTTTCGGGCTGCCGCGGTATCATCTTTTGCATGTTTGCTGCGGCCATGCAGGGGATTCGGATATGGCAGCTTGCAAGGCTTGTGGGTTCGCCGAGGCATCGATCGGTCTGCTGGATTCCCGTGTCAAGGGCTTTTCAGCAAGCCTATTGTCGCAAGCGCAAGACTTAGTCGTCGCAGCAGTCGCAAGGGCAACAACAAGCGAATGATTGTTAAATGATACGTACGGAAGAAGTAGCCAGACTGGCAGTTACAGGGAGAGGTATGGTGAATAGTAATCGTGGCCGTCGTCGTCATCGCTTTTACCGCAGTATCGACAATGATGGTGCCGCGGGGTCGGCTGCAAAGGCTTTGACCCTGAGCCCCTGCCGCTTGGACTCCGAGGCCAGATGTGCGGAGATATTCTCGACAGTGATATACGCAAGTAGAAATAACGGAAGGAAGGTCGCGGCAACATGTTTAGCTGTCTCACCCAGAAAGTGGGCTGCCCAGAGATCTTAGGCGATGCCATGCGCAAACGCAAGCTGTTGCAGAGCGGTTCAAGACGAGCTTTTGGCAGTCTCAGACGAGTTTTCAACTGGCCTGTGCCGAAGGCACATGGCCAGCCTCAGTCATATTGGATTGATTTGCACACGGGTGCCTGAAACCTTGCTCATGCAAGAACCGGCACCTCAGAGGGGAATCCACGACGCCCAAATCGTCGCATGTCTGCAATGTGCGGAGTAGAAGACAGCAGGTCTTTCTGCTTCAGCACTTGTCAGGTTTTCTGCAGTGCAGTAAAGCACCTCATTCGAAACTTTGGGTGAAATAAGTTCCTCTGCAGATATCCTCCAATGATGATTGCAGCCGGTCGAGGAGCACCTTTCTTGTCTGCAGAGGAGCATCGTGAGGCCGTGTACACTACGCGGGGGTTTCTTCAAAACAAGGTTCATAGTGCTGCATGTGCTTTCTACCCGGCTGAACTAATGTTGAAGCTTCACACATAAATCAGGAGCTTGGTTTTGAGAAATCACCGCCTCGATTGCGAAGCTAAGCTCCCAGCACTGCCTCTCACCGGAAGGGGTCATGCAGAGCGGCTCTGAGCTGGTAGCGTGTCTGGTAATCTTAATTGATACAGGCAGGTGAGGTGCGGACTTAACTTGTTGCCATCGTTGAAGTCGTGCTGCTCATCTTCAAGGCACTACTTCCTTATCGGTGCAAAAGAAAGGGCAAGGGCAATCCAACGCGCTACCAGCCTTTGTGCAGCGAGGGCTCAACCTCACTATAGGCCAACGGCTGTCCGACTGTAAGCCTTGCAATAACCTGAAGTCTTATATGACTTATATGTGTATGTAATGCAGCATGATGCACACACACACACACTCTCAGTCACTATCAGTGATCTTAATTGTATTGACAGTCTCAGGACACCCACCAGCATCAACACTAAGCTTGTTCCAAGCATGATCTCTTGCAATAGTTGAAAATACGAATAAGAGCGCACGTAAGGTGAATGCCATTTGAGTCTCGGAGGTTTGTGTTGATGTGTTTTGTCAGCGGACGGCCGTAAAGGCCACCGGCCACGAACAAGAATCCATTTGCAGTTGCTTTCCTCTGCAAGTGGTGATAGCTCGACACAATCTCTCTCTCTTTTTCTCTACGACCACCGTAGGTGCGCGCGTTTCAAAAAGTTGCGGCGGGCGTGCCACGTTTTCAGACCGGAACTGGAAAGCCGCTTTAAGTTGCAGAGCAGCATGCGACCAGTTCATGGCCTGAGACTGAAGGCCTGAAGTACTTGTAGCAAGCGCCCCCTGACAGCCGAAGCTCGAATGCAGGAGCTCCCTCCTCAGCCTCCTCTCCTTCCTCGAGCTTCTGATAAGCCGCAGAAGCACCAAGCCCAAGTATTCCGGAAAAGCCTTGAATGCAGGTGCAGGCGGCCGAAAAGAATCCTCTCGAGGCATCCGCCGGAGAGGCAGAAGGTGCCCCTGCAATACACTGCACTGTAGTATATTTTAGTATATTATAGTATAGTATAGCTTACTTGAGTTCGCATAATTCAATAGAGTATATCATCGTATGTTGTGCTGGGGAGTTTGGGGCACTGGGTTGTTTTCTGGCTTGAGGGTTTACCCTCCCCTAGTGGAGCCGCAAATACGAAGTCTGTTTTGAGGGTTATGGTGCTCATGTGAGTCGGAGAAACCCGAGCCTCCCTCCACTCAGGAGTAATCCTTCGGCTCTAGAAAGGATCCAAAAAGTACCCTGATGACTTGCTGGAGGGATGCCGGAGCCCTGCCCCCTCCTTGGCAAAGCCCAGCCATGAATACCCAGCCCAGCTCTTACGGGATTCAAAGGCCCTCAAACCCTCTCCCCGAAGCCGAGAATCTCCTATAGTATACAGTACTATAACAGGTTATGGTATACGAAAGTATACTATGATCTACGATATGATGTCCTAAAAGTTCACACACCACAGCCAGCTTTTCAGATGCGCCGCTCCCGGCGCCGGGCCCCAAGAAGAAGCAGAAGTCCGAGCTCTTCAAAGCCCCGGAGGCCGCCGAGGCGCGGCGAGGCTTCGGGTTTGGGGGTTTAGTAGGGTTTTAGTAAGTTTAGTAGGGTTTAGTAAGTTTAGTAGGGGGGTTTATGGGCTTTGGGGTTTCGGGTTTGGGGGGGGTTTTAGTCCCTTGAGGACGAAAAGAACCCTAACAGGGTTTAGGGTTCAGATACCTTAGAGGGATTCATAGTATAGTTGTATGGGGCCCCGTCTTTCGAGAGTCATTTTGTCCTTGAGGTAGGGTTTTGTAAGTTTAGTAGGGGTTTATGGGCTTTGGGGTTTCGGGTTTGGTAGGCGGGTTCAAGGGAGATTTGAGGGCTGTTTTGGGGCTTAGGGTTCGGGGCTTGGATCTCCTGTTCCGGGTGTTCAGGGAGCATCAGGAGCCAGCAAAGCCCACAGCCTTTGCTCTTATGAACTGAACGCATCACTTGTGTGTTTTTTTGAACCCTGAATCTCTGAAACTTCCTTGCAACCCGCGAAGTAGAGTAGGAAACCACACGCGAGGCATCCCACAGCAGTTTCGTTGGCCCAGGTGGTCGAGATTGCGCGAACGCGGAACCTTTACAAGTCCAACCTCTTCCGGCTGCAACTGGAGGCAGCGCAGAGCGCAGAGTGCTGCCTGTCCGTTGCTTTCTGGGGCCTGTCTCTGGGAACTCTCTCTTTGCGGTCTTTGCACAGGAGCTCATCAAGGAGATGACGCCCAAGAAGCCGCCGCCGGGACTGGAGGCACGACACGCCGATCTCAGAGGGGCAAGTCGCTTCGCAGCCTCTGCATGCCTGGTGCAGTGTGGAATTTTGGTGCTGGAGTGACGGGCAGGAACTGCAAGTTGGATCTTGTTGCCAGTTCGAGAGCCTAAATTCAACAGTTTTGTAGGTCTCATTGGGAGCCCTGAGCCCAGAGAGGCCCCAGCAGCTGAAGTTGTTTCGCAGGCAGCTCTGCATGCTCTGCGGCCACTGCTTCTGGAGAAGCTCCGGGCCAGAGACATTCCGGTCCCTCGGCGGCTTGAAGGGTGCACGCTGTTAGGCAGAGCCGGTGAGTTTGAGGGCTCCACTTTCGGATGTTACTGGGAGCGGCCTTGATCGAAATGCCGACGACGAGGCGGACTTTGCCCAGGAGTTCCCGACGCTGCGCTTCGCGCAGCGGGGCGGAGCGGCTCCCTCGGCGCTGCGTTTCACGGCACCAAGGTGGAGAGTTGAAAAGGTTTCAACAGTTTCTTGCAGGGTGTTTGGGTTCAGCCGTCTTGAGGCCGAGATTTGCGGCAGCAGCAGCAGCAGCAGCAGCAGCAACAGCAACAGGAACTGCAACTGCGACAGCTGCACCAGCAAAATTCTGACAGCAAGCAGCCACCACTACCGCCGCCACCGCTGCCATCATCACCCCAGGCATCCGGAACATTTGGCCACACCTGAGCGGAGTGAAGCGTTAGGAGGATTATGAGGAAGATGGGGACGAAGACAGCAGAATCAGTTGTTGACGGAGTGCGTGTGACGACGACGCTGGGGGGGTCTGACCGTGAACATAATCACGGCTCTTTCGCTTGCAAGGAGAGTGTTGTGATGTTGATTTGTATCTTGGTCTTTGCGGTGATGCTGCTGATGATCTGCTGATGGTGAAACTGAAGGCGATGGTGGCAGAGATGATGACGATAGCTATCATGCTGACAGAGAACGAGGACCTCAACACGACGCAGCGTGCTGCCAGTAACGACGACCCTAGTGATATGTATGAAACTTTTGTTAACGATGCCGACAGCGACGACGTGGATTACGAGGATGGTTATGTTGATAGTACTGATGACGACGATGATGGTTTTCATGATGATAGTGGTGATGGCAGATAAGATGAATGATCTTATTGATGACAATGAGGATATTGAAGATATTGATTATGGCGATGGTGAGGGGGATGATGTCGAAGATCACCGATATGATGGTGATTCATACGCACTGCCTGCAGGCGTATCGACGTTGTCGGCAGCTTTTTGCTACTCGGCTTGGGCAAGGGAAAGTGGCCTGATACTCATACGGTGCAGCAGTCCAACTTGCAGAAATGGACAGCTGATGTGAGCAATGCGGTGATGCGCAGAGTCGCGTGTTGGGTGTGGGCATGTATTTTTGCAATGCCTCCAGGCTTGGGACGTACACGAAAGAGGAGCTCACTGTGGATGTGGCAGTTGAGATGCCCTCAGACATGTTCCGATCCAAGGAGTGGGTTGGCACTTCGAGGTGTCTAGATGTACGGAACCTTAACCCTTGTAAGCGCTGCCTGACCTGGAGGTTGAGCTTCAATTTCCAACCATCGGAACCTCCCGAAGCCCAGAGCTTCACCAAAGGCCCGGTTGCCCTTGCCCGCGAGAGGATTACCTTAACTTCCGGTACCACGACAAGCGCGCGGCCTACCTCGGGGAACTGCACCGGCAGCTCTGTGGTGGGCTGCTTCGAGGCTACCGCAGTCTGATGCTGAACCCCCGAGCTGTGAACGCCAAGTACCATGCATCTTCCGCAAGACCTAGCTAAAGGAGTAGCAGAAACGGCTGCAGATTAGAACCTAGCAAGCCAGCGTCAGCTTTCAATGGCGGTTCATGTATGGGCGGTGGGTCGCACGCAGTTCAGGTTGAGGAGATGCCCGCGAAGAGCAGAGGGTGACGTTTTGATCCCGAAGTTTACATTTCTCTTTGCGACGGATCCGCCGAACGTTGTGGAGCACTATGACGACTGCTTTGCGGCAATGCAGAGCCGTTTCCCTGAAAGCCAGATGATCGTTTTCGAGCTGCCTGGATTCGGGATGTCACACTCGGCACGAGCTTCGATGGATGATTTGGCACGCGATTTGAGCGAGTTTGTTGAGAAGGTCAAGCACGAGTTTGCCTCCGGGTCTAGGCTGGTACTGGTGATGCCATGCGTCAGCGCCTTGTTCTCTCCTGTTTTGCTTCGGGACCTTCCTCAAGGCACCGTAGAATATTTGGTGGTGGTGCAGTGCGCAGATTATGCAGGGGAGCTGAGCTGGGCCAACGGCGTGAACGCTGGGGGCATGTTGTCACTTCCAATATTGGCCCGATTGTACAACTACCTGAATGCCAAGGCCATCAGTGCCAATTGGTACAAGGCCACATTTCCCAAACGTGGCAGCTATCTTGAGTGTTCCGGCTGCCGAATGTCAGCTGTGTTAGACGCAGAGGGTTCCTTGGAGCATGGAGCCGTTGAAGCTCGGTCATGGTTTTCCTCCGTGGCTGGGAAGGCATTCGATGCCGGTGCTCGGTTTCCCCTTGCCTGGTGCTTGCAACAGCTCTTCTACGCGCCACCGCGAGGATCCAAGCTGGTCGGCCTTCTGCGTGAGGGTGCCGCGACGATCAAAAGCAAGACGCTGATAGTGTGGGGAATGCAGGATGCGACTCACCGTGGAAACTTTCAGCGGGAGTTGAAGGCGCCCTCCTTCTCTCGCTATGTCTCGGGAGGTGTCTCTCATCAATACTTCGAAGAGTCTGCTCACTTTCCGGAGCTTCAGCACCCGCAACGCTTTGCCACTGCTGTCTTCGACTTCTTAGAAGAAGCGGGCAAAGAATCCGCTTTGTCACAGTCGCCTGGAGCTCGAAGCAAGCTGTAGTAGAACTGAGTCGGCCCGCAGCCCACAGTCGGCTTGCGCAGACGGCTGTCCCGATTCGTATGAATCACAGCATGAAGTTTTGGAGGATGGCCGTCCTTATCACCCTCCCTCGCTCCCTCGCTACCTCGCTCCTTCGCTCGGAGGCGTCTCGCTTCCTGAGGTGTAGGTTTACCACACCGGCTGCAGCAGATGAAGAAAGTTGCACGTTTGAAGAGAACTCTCTGCTGGTTGGACGGAACAATTGTGGCGTAACTAAGTTTGCCGTGCATTGCACCGGTGTCGCTGATACATGTCTAAACAACGTAAAAACATGTAGCTCGGTCTAAACGCATGTCTTACGTGCATCTGTATGAAAGCGTGTGTGCTACGGCCGAAGACCCATTCAAACGTAGCCAAGCATGTCCCCGAACCACCTACCCACTCTACCCTACCCAACCTGCCACCTGCCTCTTGACGAAGCGCGCCCTGCAAACTTGCCGGGAAACCCTAAGCCCTAAGCGCTGCACCCACGCCAAGAGCCCTTCTGGCAGGTAGCGAGCCGCTGGTGGCCCTGAGTGCCAGCTTCGAGGACTTTTGGGCAGAAGTGCGGCGAGCTTCAGTCGTTCCAACACCTCTGGCCTTCCGGGCTTCATGGATCGTTCGTCTTCGGACTTTTCCACCAAGGATCCTCTCGCGATCAGAGTCTTGCGACACATCATCACATCCAACAGTCCGAACATCTGCAGAGCGAAGCCTTCAGCCCTTAGGGTTCAGTGTGTAGCACTCCCGGGCCGTCGGGCCAGAAGCCTGCATTGACGAACCTCTGACCAAGAGCCTTCAGTGGCCTTGTCTTCGTAGGCCCTGGCGGGTAATCCGCTGCGGTGCCATGGCAGCCACTTCAAAGGGTAGAGCTTGGCTTGGAACAGAGCTTGTTGGGCCGAGGCTTCGGGGATTGTAGAGTCAGATGAACCCTTTGACGCCTCCCCCCCGACCCCTTCGAGGCCATGCCTCTGCCTCCAACCGGAAGATGATGCGAGGCTGGGGTGTCCGGGAGGGGAAGAGTCGTCCTATGTCAGTAGTGATGTTGTGAAGAGTGTTCTGCTCTCGGCCTTGTGCCCGACACCTCAAAGCCTATCCTCGAACCGCCACACCTGACCCGAAAGCCTTCAAAGCTGCAGCAAGTAGCCAAACGACCCGGCCGTGGAAGGTGGACCATCCGGCTGCTGCCCACCTATTCTGCAGATCTGTGGCCGGTGCGTGTGTTGGGGCCGGCAGCTCGCCCTCTTTGCGGCCCCATATTCTTTTGGTAAAATTTGGAGTCTTAGATAGCGTGAGATTTAGATGCATGAGCGCATGCTCAGATTGAGAGATGCATAGCTACATGCATCCAGAGATGTTATAATATGTCGACGTGTTGTCTTCGCTGCTTCTTTGTAGCAGAACTGTCAGCTTTGGGGATCGGGGGAGACACCAGGGTCTGAGGGCCAGGATGTGGGGTGTTTGGGACGCGTGGCAAGACCTTACGGATGGGTCCACTCACTTCTTTGAAGCCCGCCAGCTCGTCCCCTTAGGTCTTAGGTGCTCCGTTTCAAGTGTTGTGGGGAACAGGGACCTTGTCTTGGATCCCTCGTTCTCTCAAGCTCCCGAGTCACAGAAATCGTTGAACTAGCACCCGGCTGCACCGAGGACCGAAACGCCGTCCGCCCCGACCGGGCTCTGGACAATGGCGGAGTGCCTGCCACCGCCCACTACAACAGCTGCGTGCCTTTGGCGGAAAACCGTGGGAGGATGAAATCTCTCTTCGGCTGACGCTGTTGCCAGGAATTGCTGGAAGGCTGCGAACATGAGCCGAATCCATTGAAAGGAAGTGTGGGGAGTTCCATCGTGGTTTCACTGCCCTGCAGCAGCTGTGCATGCTAAATAAAATGTCATTGCGTTCATGTCTGGGTGGGGTTGAAGAGAGGAAGCCCGAAACCCCTTCAGAGACTTCTGCCTGGAAGGTGCTCGAGGATGCTCGCATGCGTGCGGCCCCTAGTGAAAAAGTTTGGATTTCGGATTTGGGGCTCTGCGGCTTGCTGGGCTAAGGTTTCAGGATTGGGCTCCCAAGGCCCTGGACCTTGATCCCCAACGGAATCATCAAGTCAAGAGTTAAGCTCCAAGTGGCTCCAAAGCTCTGCCGAAACCTCGAGGGCAGCATCTGGAGACCTTGCACTCCAGCCTTCAGCGGTTCACGGCGCTGCGCGACGGGATCCATCTTTTGCCCCTCGACTTGCTTGGGGTTGAACCTCAAGCGGAAAAACACCCAAAGACACGAACCACCGGTTCGGGTCCTACAGCCCTGAGCAGAACCGCCTGAGCTCAAAACCCTGCATCCTGAATCTTCTCCTGCAATCTCCCAACACCCCAAAGCCCATAAGGAAACGATGGGCCCAGTGCTGCGGCTTCCTGGCTGCGGCTTCCGATCGGGCCGTCTCAACTCCGGTCAGCGGCTTCTGAGATTGAATAGAAAGCCACAGCCCCTTCAAGAAAAAGGTGCTGAATATGTAAGCCCAGGCCCATAGAGGTCCGCCTACAGGCCGCTGAGATTCCAAACCTCTTCTGGTAGGAAGGAAGCCAATTCCTCCCACAAGTTCTCTATGGCTGAAGTTGTTCAAATGCCCGACGCTCCCCAGCCTGACACGGTAGGCGAAACCCAAACCCTGCAAGCTCCATGGACATTACACCCAAGAACTGCAAGTCCCCGAAGGCTTTCTCCTGTCCATGTTGGCGGCGCACGCGGCGAACACCGCCGGCGTGGCCCCGATGCAGACGTCGTCCTTTCAGCTCTTCAAGCGCCTGGATCTTGTTTTACGGGAGGGGCCACCTCAATTTGCAGGGCAGGGGGGTCTTGAGCTTAGGGTCCAGCGTTCCGGATTTCGACTTGAAGCATCTTCGGCCGTGAGGGACTCTTTGCATCGGGCTTTCAGGCATTTCCATACGTGCAGGCATGGAGCCAGAACTCCCGTCCCCCCCCGAGGACCACCCAAAAACTCGAGTCCCCAAGGCTGACGCTGAGTGTGCTGGCAACAACGGAGTGGAAGGAGCAGAAGGCCTGCCAGGTTCTCATGCCAGGCCTTAGGCTGCTGCCTTTGCTTTAACTTCTTGGTTTCTGTACGGCAGCAGAGGTGAGACATCTTAAGTCAGGCTCCTAGGGATCAGTGTACGCATGGGGTTGGTCTCTCATCGTCATGACTTCATTCTCATGAAACAAAACAAAAGTGTGGTCAACACGAGCATTGCTGTCTTGATGCTAGTCATGACTCATGACCTCAACATATAAAGGTTGAAAAAATATGCATATGCACACTTACATAAGTGCATACATACAGACACGAACAGGGTTCGTAAAGAGAATCCTGTGAGGTTGAAGTCGGGCCCTTGTGTGCAGGTGACCTTCGGTGTTGCCGGGGCCGCCAAGCTTTCCAGCGCGGAGGCGCAGGCGCGCCTGATGGTTTAACCAGGGGTTCCAGAATCCTTCCCTTAAGCAATACCCGCTCCACAGATTATTGTCGGGTTCCAGACTTCAAGGACCCTTCATGGCGAGTTGGGTTTGGACTCTCTGGCTTTCCGGCTTGGAGTTCAGGCAGTCATGTTCAGAGAGGCCTCGTGCCAGGGGGCGTCTCAGAAAACAGGGAACCCCCATAATAGACCATGGACAGTAGGATCCTTAAGCCTTCACGAGCACCCTTGAATTGAAGAAGCACTTCATGAATACAAGGTTGCCAGCGCTCACTTCTACGATGCCGTGCCTCGGCTGTGTGCACGTTTTGGCAGAGCAGCACCTTCAACCGCAGGCTCTAAATTGAAGATCTACTTGACGGTTCTGGGTTTAAGGTGTTTGACGCTTCAAGGGTACCAAGCAGCCAAACTCTCAGCCCTTGACTTTGAATCCCTCACCGTTCACCCAAGCCAACGTGGGCCGCCGGGTCATTTCCGGTTTAATTATTCTATGTCAGGGTTCTGTGGTGTAGGCGAACAAGGCAAGAAGTACCTTTGGAGGGAGCGTTGGTTTAGAAAAACCTCGTGCGCCCTAAGCCAGGAAGAACTGAACGACCAAATGCAGATGTAGTATTGCTACATGTATCTGCTGAAGGTTGATCTTCATATTGTGCACGTCTGCGTGTATATTGGTACATGCTCTTAAATATACGAAATCACGCCATTCAACAGTGTCTACGTATATGTGTATATGAGCAAAAGCTAAAGACACTTACACACACACACGTGTATATAAGTACATACATACATATATATATATATACATATCTATAGTTATTGATATCTATATGTATGTCTGTCCGTCTGTCTGGCTGGCTGGCCGTATGTATGCATGCATGTGTATGTGTATGTGTATGTGTATGTATATGTACATGTATACGTATATGTATATGTATGTATGTACATATATATATATAATGCGTGTATATATATGTGTATATGTACGTGTATATATATGTATATATATATATATATATATACACATATATATATATATATAGATAGACAAACACGCGTATGTTTGCTTGGTTGTATGTATGTATATACAGTTATCAGCACGCACACATACATATGTGTTTCTGATTGAGTGTGCTCAGGGATGTTTGCAAGAAGTCGCAACGGCATTCACTCGGCTGCCATGTTTCGAGTCGTGCCAAATCCGCCCGCTGCGGCGCAGGTCGTTTCTTTACCCCCGCCGTCCCTTGTCAACACCACTATGGCTGCGTTTCTCACGGCTCCTGTCCCTGACCGTACAGACCTGGCCGATTTCTGCAGACACTGGGTCGGTGTTGTACGGCTCCGGTCTGCCTTCCCAGCTGAATTGGATCGAGGACCACCACTGTCAGGAATCAACAAGTGCTGCGCGGGGCTTATCTCTGCAATTTACTCTCGGGAACGGACTAGCGTTCCACTGACAGAAACATACACATGCATACGTACGTACATATATACATACATCTTGCGTACTTATATACATATGCACATATCTTCCGATGCTGATGCGGCGTCCCGACTTCTCCAAGGAGGGTGCCGTGAATTTCCTTTACCGAGTCGGGCCAGTCGTGGAGGAGCCCCTCGGATTCGGATGCCAGGTCCTCCCTGGACTTCAGGCCTTTGGGGTTTCGGCTGACAGCCATCCCACGGGTTGGGGCAAAGGGGCGTCAGATTTACCGTATATGTTCAGCTCTGATGCGTTTCTTCGGCTTCGGGGTCGAGAGGCTTGAGGTGCAATCTTTGGCGCTGTGGAAACACATGCAATTGCCCCGCCTCGTACGTACACAGCAGTCTTGGCAGGTCTTGGCCGGAGCGTTTCAGCTCGTTTCGGACACATTACCCCCAAAGCCACTCAAAGCAACAAAATGTTCAACTTGCAAAGTCAAAGGCTGCAGTGGGAGGCCAAGCGGGCCCTCCGTGCGATGGACTCCCAGGCCAGTGTGTGCTCAAAAGAATACTGATGCTGAGAAAGAAGACTCTGCTACTTGCGGGATCATGATGTGGAGAAGGAGTCATGATGGTAGCTAACGTTCAAAACGGCGTAGCTGCAGTCGGAACAGCATGGCGCCGGCAGCGGGGTAGTATTTTGGAAATGAGAACTCGGAGTCTGGCTGCCTGTGCTAGGCCGACCCTTTCGAGATGGTCTTCGGCTGCCAGGCCACGCCAGAGTTGGCGTGGGAAACCTGACGGCAGTAAATTGTCTTGGGCGGAGTAAGATGCCCTTTCTGCCCGAAGCCTTCAGGCTCGGGCCATCTGCGACCTTTTTTGCGGATGTTTTCTGAGCTGTACTTCACCTCGCTGCTTAAGGGGCCTATACCGCCCTTCCGATCGCTCACAAAAAGCAGAGAGCAGCACAAGAAAGCTTAACCACACAGAGGTACTGCCTAACAGCCGTCAGCCCTGAAAGAACAAGCTCGAAGCTCCTGGAAAGCAATGGCCCAGGATCTCTGCCTCAGGCTACCTCAACTTCCGAGCACGGCGATGTGCCCAGATCTGAGGCCTGTCCGGGTCGTCTCCCCGATTTTCTCAAAACCTTCTGTGGATTCTGCGGCTTCCATTCCGAGGCTCCGTGACAAAAAGGATCCAGAACACTATAGAACGCTTCTCCAAATCTGAATCCCCCCCAGGACGGAGGCGCCGGCTGGCGAGATTTCCCCTAGCACCTGGGCCTTGGACGGCTGTCTTTGAGTTTAGAGCGGCTGAAATCCGTCTCCCTGCGCCCATCAATCCTAACGTCAAGGCCCATGGGCCTTTGCAACCCAAACCCCCCGGTCCGAGGCTTTCCAGCTGACATGCCCGAAGCCCTGGCAACCGCAGAGCACTTGCGTCGCAGGGCAGCAGCGGCTTGTAGCGTGACATTTGCAGGTTGCCATCAGATTGCTTGAGACGGTTTAAGAGGCCTTCGCAATGCATTAATGAAGCCCTCAGGGCTGGTAGCACGGGGACAGGACTTGCCGCGGGCTGCCAGAGTATTACATGCAGAGGTTTTGGAGAGGTTGTTCTTACAGCAGCCGACCCTTGAGTTTGCAGCGTCAAAGATTGATGTAATGCCATCCGAAATGCGCTCACCTTGGGACTTAAGAGCTGTGTCCAAATCCCAAAGCCAAGACCTCAACCTGTGCACACTGGACCGCGAACAGTATTGAAGTCCCAACCCTCCCCCCCACAAGAATGTTTTGTGCCCAGACCTCAAACACAGTACTCAAGACCCCAAACGCTGAAGATCACGCACACCACTCTAGCAAGCCTTCCGAAGACCCTGAGATCGGGCTCAGGGTCCGTGCTGCTTGCTGGCTTGGACGACCGCTGTGTTCGCTCGGCTTTGCAGCTGGCCACCGTCAACGTTCGCTTTAAAGGGGCGAGGGTCAGAGCATTTGAGGGTGCAGGGTTGAAGATGTTTTTCTTTACGTCGTTTGGCTGTTAGGTTTGGTCCGCCCACCTGTGCAAGACTAGCCGGCTCGCTTTAGTCGCATCTTGCAGCCAAGCTCCGAAACCCGAAGCGGCACGAACTTCCCAGGCGCTGGGTGGGAAACCTCCAGCCTCGCTGGACAGAGCGGCCGCCGGAGACCGGCCCGGCGGTGCCTGGCCCTGGCTGGGCTGCGGGTACAAAAGAGGGGAATTATTTTATGATGGGAGGGTGTTGGGGAGTCATCACCGGACTACTCGGTTCCTACAAGATCCCAGGATTTGAGGTTTCGAGGGTGAAGGCAGTTCGAAGCTTGTGTTTGAGGGTTCCGAAGTAGCCTTGGGCTTGAGGAAGCTACACGCTTCCTGTTGAACGTTTTGGATTTGGAGATTCTGTGTTTGGGGGCCTTCGTTGAGCTTGACGGTTGCAGATTTGCGTATGAGACGGGGTGCGAATGTAGGCTTGTTGGAAGACAGTGTTGGGGGTATTGAGCTTGAGTGTTGGGGTCACATTTGGGGCTTTGGTTACACAGTTTCGATGAAGGTGATTGCTTACTGCTGCTGCTACCCTTCCTGAACCAGATAGACCCATCTGCAAACAACCCCGAGCCTCTCCCACTCAGTCACCAGCGGTGCAGCGGAAGCCAACTGGTGGAAGGGCAAGCGGGAAAGGGGGCGATGCTGATCTCAGCATCTCTGAGCCCAGGTGCTTGTCGGCTTGATCTTAGCTCCGGAACACCTGGAGCGCATGGTGGACCGCGGGCCATCCGCCCAGGACCATGAGGGGTTGCACATCTCGTCGGAACTATGAGGCCGTGACGTTTAGAAAGCTTGATCATCATCCTCGTCCTGTAGGCAGCGTCTGCACCGATGCTACGCAGTTGTACCATTCGTGTTGGGGACAGGCCAAGACAACCCGCGGTTCACAAGTGTACGTACTGTTACATGTCAGCAAAAGAAAGGACAGCACGAATGGCAGGAAAGTTCAAGAGATCCAGTAGCCAGGAAAACATGACTCGAAGGCGAGGGCGTACAGACATGATGCTAGTACCAACAGTGTGAGTGAAAATGAGAGGAAAGCCTGGATGGCCACAAGAAAAGTTACTGACTAGTGGCATAAACAGCATAAGTAGGATACACAGCCTGGATTGCCCGCTTTTTGACCGACGCGTCGCCAAGTGTTGTTATCCCGATGTGAAGCTGCAGGACGCCGCAGCGACGAAGTTTCGTCAGCTGTGGGGTCACTTTGCCGAGACTCCGGTTTCTTGAGGTCAAAGTTGGCAGTAGGGCTGTGGGATTCGAGAAGCACGCGAAGTCGGGGAGTGCTTCCTTTCCTGTGCTGCCGAATCCTGCGCTCGTCTGCAGTTGCTTTCAGAACGAGGTACCGAGAAGAGCGAGCTGCGGCGCTTCAAGGCCAAATCGGGGGGCCGGAAGTCCGTTTTCGTGTCCGGTGCTTCTTGCGGAGCCTAGGACGGGAGCATCTTGGAGTGCGTGGTTTGGCAGAAGCCTCCGGCGGAGAGGACGGTGGAAACTCGAAAAGAGCCGGCCGTGGCACCTTGACTCGCGAAGGATCATGAGTCGTCACGGGCCTCGTGGTGCATTGTAAATGCTGCTGCGATAAGCCAGCATGTTAGAGTCTGGCAGAGCCTAGCTGGCGTGCTCCCGAGGTGACGCAGATCGTGCAACATCTGCTCACACGGCATCTGCCATCTCAGCTGGCGCCGAAGACGGACATGAAGGGAGAAGAGTAGAGCAAGCAAGGGTCCAGTGTGCAGGGTGTGGATCTGGGATCTCGGTAGTGAGTCCACATTAACAGTTTCGATGCTGCTTTGGAGGACATCATCTCGGGACCTACCGGCTTCGTGCCGAACCTCGCCGAGAAGGTGCTGCAACAAGGTTAGTGAATCACCATTCTCCATCTTGGCTTTCTTGATCGGCGCACATCCATCCACGACGCATCCAGACGAGTCCAGCAACCGCCCATTCCGCACTCCGAGTGCATCTTGTGCTCGTCGTTTTAATGTTCCCACCGTCTCATCCAAGGCGGCTTGCACAGTGGTCGTCCTCCCACTGATCAGTCCAACTTTTACGTCAATCGACATGTCGAACCACGGAAATTCCTATTCCGTTAGCTTTCCTGTTTCGGGGTCTGGGATTCGGGGGTTTTTGCGTGTTCAGAAGGTAGGTTTTGCAAAACGGCGTGAAGGACGTACATAAGCGCCACACATGTCACACCGACTTCTGCCATCCAGTTAGCCCAGCGCGTCCTAGGTACCTGAATAGGCTTCTTGAAGGGTTCCTTAAGGGCTTAGGCTTTATAGGGTTTCTTTAAGCGTTCCTAAGTACCGAAAGAGTAGAATCAGTAGAGTGTATGGTTTCTTTGTTAAGTAGGAATCACCATGACGATTTGGGAAAGTATCCCCCATAACGGTACTTAGGACCCTTTGAATCATATTCTATCCGTTCTGCCTATGCTGTAGGCCTCATCGCCGGAGCGAATTCAATAGCGGATAAGTTCAGGCTCAAGAATGGTCGACGAGGAAGTCAATGACACAACCCCCGCCCCTCCCCCCCTCCGGTTTAGCGTCCACCTGGACCCTAAGAAACCTACCTTTTTGGGGTTCCTTAATACAATTTCCCTCTATAAGCCTTTAAAAATGTAGGTTCTTCAGGGTCCAGATCCCCAACCCTGCAAAATAGTAGGCTATGATCCCTTGTTTAGTGGACACCTCGATGGTTCAGCTATAGGGTGTATAGGGTGTAGGGTCTGGGGTTTAGGGTTAACCCCAAAACCTGAAAGCAACTGCACCTACGTATAGCAGCAGAGTTGCCAAGGCTTCTTTTCAGTTGTCATACAGGTCTAGTTTCGCCTGAAATCCTTTACTCCCCAACCCGCCGAAATCAACGCGCCCGGGCCCGTTGGCATGTCTAGCCCATTCCAGCCCATAGTTTCGTGTGTGCTCCATCGCAGCTGTGCGACGGCTTGCTGGCGTCGCAGCTCATGTGAAGTCGGGAATTCCCATCAGCGAGGAATCTTCCTGCGAAAGAACGGCCGTGGGCCTCTCTGCATCTTGTTTAGTGCAAGTCATGCAGGACCGTCGACTGTGGGCTGCCTTCGAGACCTTTCGCACGCACCTCTGCCAGCTGAGCTCGCTTCCGCTCGCTGTGAAGGCACGGGGGACCTTTACAAAAAAGGATCGCTAGCTTGGGGCCTAAATCCTCCGGCCCGAAGCAGGACTGCTCTAGAAACTCGCAGACTCCGGTTGAGGGGGAGTTTTCGCCTTGAAACACTAACTACCTCGTACCGTGCAAAGCGTACGTCCACGATTTTCGGGGACCGAGGACATCCACCCGGTGGATGCCTCCTTCAGTTGCCTGGCTGCAGACCATATCCGAAGCTCCCAGAGATGATGGTCCCGGCTTTTCAGGATCAAGGTCAGCAGTCTTTGAGCTTTCTGTCGCAGGATCTCGCACCTGCAAATTCGAGGCTACATGTCCATCCAGTCCGCCATTGCGCCCCCAGCGCCATCGGGCAGCGATGCCGTGCCCTGCCTGAGATGTCCACTTGCATGGCTTTCCTAAATCTGAGTCCAAGCAAGCTTCGAGACCCGACGCTGAGCCGTGGGTCCTCTACTCCGCCTTCTTGAAGTCAGTCTTCTCATGATATGGCGAGGTTTGACTTTAGAAGGAAGGGCCCCTCAGGCTTTCACTCCAGGTTAAACATGCCGTTCATCCCAGCAAAACACGGGGTTGTATCGCCTGCCAAGTCTACGAGAATGAAGGCATGCGCTCAAGTCAAAGCCCAAATCTCCGATACAGCCTTGAGCCCCCCACGCCAAGCCCTGCACACTGAGTCAGAGATCTTCCACAGTAACTTTATCAAGATCGGAACTTGAAACTTATGACCCAATCCCAGAAGCTTGAACTTGAAGCAACCCCGAGTCTTCTAGATACCCAGAATCCAGCCCTAGCCGAACCTAAGCACCTAAACTGAACTTGTAAACCCCCAAACCTCTAAGCCTCTAAACCCATCAAGAACCCTAAACACTCACTAAACCCTTAAACTATCCCAGAAGCTGCGGCGGACGCTTTTGGATACCGTGCTGGAGTTTGAGTCCTCTGGGCGATGGCCGTCCGAGCCGGCGGGGATTCCTTTCAGATTTCTTCCAAAAGGTTTCAGGGACATTCAGGAGTTGAAGGAAACAGGGTATTTGGGGATTGTTTAGGGATTTAAGGCTGGGGGCTTTGATTTTGGGACACTTGAAAACTCTGTTCCATTCCTTGCAAGATCCCTTGTCGCAGGCCCCGGCACAGAAAGTTGCAGCCGCACTGCTGCTGCAGTGCCCTGGCACGAAGTGGTTGTCGGGCATTCTGGATGCGTCAACTTTTCACCTTGCATAAAGGTCTGAACGGCGTGAGGTTTTTGTTCGTTTCAAAAAAAAGCAGCGGACCTCACCACAGAAGATCTTCGTTGGTTGGAGCCTTCGTTTTCAAAAAGACCCAATGATTTCAACAAGGTATCGGTAAATGCCAACTGCAGCTCCGAAGCTTGACTTCCAATCCTCGCACTGGCCTTCCCTCTGTCCCCCAGCAGGCCCTTGCTAACGCTGGAGTGATGATCGAAATGAGGATCCTTGCATAGTTGATGCTGCAATCCTGCATGACCTTATGGCCTAACCCTGCACCCTGCTACTTCTGTAAATGGAGCAGTGTAGCATGATATATGACGAGACCCAGCAGGATTCGAGAGGAGCTTTCGACAGACCTGGGCATCGAAGCGGATGCCACGGAGGGCTTTCTGGATGTGTGGCTCGGCGAGCACGGGGGATACGAGGATGCTTTTTTTCTGGGGGGGGGGGGGTTCCGCAATGGATCAGAATTTGGGGTCCATCATCTTCCGAAGCTCCTGCAGCCCTGATTTTTGTAAAGCAGTTGTGGGAGGGATCAGGTCTGTATGAAACAAACACGTATCGAAGGCTCCGACTTGGGGTTTGCAGGTTCCTTCTTCGACTTCAGGCTCTGCGTTGTCTTCGTCTGGAAGCCTGAATCTTCAAGTTTCCTAACCTCTCGAGTGATGCGAGGCTCTGAACACAAATTCAAGATATCCCTTGCAAGTCTTTTGGAATAATCGCTGCATCAATGCCGGAACTGCTGTATGCACCAGGCGCTACCCGGAGACGGTCTTCCGTCTGCGCATCTTCCACCCGCACGAGCTGCAAGAGGCTGTGACCGCGCACGCCCGCCCGGCCCCCTGCCGCTCCCCCCAAGCATCGCACTTGCTCAGCACTGACTGCAAAGTGTGAGGTGCCGGTCTGAGCCATTATGCTGGGTCCCAGAGCCTCGTAGCTTCTAGGGAGCTTCCTCGCTTCGTTTCAGGTGGCCAACAAGGTTACCGGACTACAGGCTGGGCAAGGATTCGGACTTGAACGGTGGTGCCAATGCTGCCCCCCTCAAAAGCTCCCGACATGTCAGCTCCCTTCTCTCCCTGGGACCAAGACGCTCGAACTTTCGTGTCGAAGCCTTGTGTGTACAAGTAGCCCGGAGAAGGCTCAGAGCTCTTCGCTGCCCGGCGAGACGGAGCTGGAAAGGCCACTCGGACGGTCATGCGAGAGCTTCAGACATAGAGCCGTCAGGTCACGTAGACGTTCATAGACATGTACTCTGTGTGTGTGTATGTATGTATGTATGTATGTATGTGTGTATGTATGCATTTGCAAACACGTGCAGTGTGCGTGTATAATCAGACACACACCCTACTCGTGCATGCCCATTCGCGTGCGTTGTTGCACACCTATGGCTATGGCACGTGGAGATGTGTGCTCGTCTTGACATGCCAGAGCTCGCGAGACCCGATAAAAAAGGCTTCTTGTCGCACGGTCCCCAAGATGGAGATGGGAGGAGCGCAACATTGAGAAACTTCGAATGCATGCTAAGCCGCTAAGCAAGACTGATATTCCAAACTTTTTGACAGAGTAGGAACGAAGTATCTTGAGAAACTTCGAGAGCATGCCAAGCAAGACTGATACTCCAATCGTTTTAAACAGAGTAGGAACGAAGTATCAGTCTTGAATGATTAGGCATAGTGCGCCCTTCTCCCCATTGCGGTTATACGATCCTAAATCCCGAATGTCTGTCCGAGACTCCGCACTCTCTGGTGGCGGCCACGGCTGCGCGCTTCTTTGCACGCGCATGCGCCGGGCGCCCATCATCTTCGACCGCCAAGCGATGGGTCTCCTAATAATCGAATGTGCAGCATGCTCATGGCTAGTCTTGTGATGATCACGATGATTCTGATGCGAGTCGTCACTATACCATAGTAAGATAGGTTTAGTGTTGTTTTTGCTGCTACTTTTGAACGGTTGTTCTTATTCCTAAGTGATATTTCCATTGTTGCTTTGGGTGGGCCGTCGCAAGCACCAATCGAACCAGAAAGACACATGTCGGGGATACCCTGCATGTACTTCGAGGAGCAAGTAGCGCACCATGAATCACAAGAAGACCACTTAGCCAGAATCCTCTTTGAACTTAAGATTAAGACGTCTTTCATAATCGCAGAAGCGCAGACCAGCAGCCCTTGCCATAGCTCTTGCTGAATTCGTGTCCATCCCGAACGAAGAGCGGCAGAGGCTACAAAAGCCAGCGATGGCTGGGGCGGCCCGGCTCTTCAAACGCTGGATGGCCTCGCAGATGCCTGCCGGAGCTTCAATGTCCAGGGTTGCATTCTGAGAAATTCATGGTTTGTAGCGTTTCCTTCTGGACTCAACATGTTAAGCCCCTCCCTTCGTGGATAATGTCACAGCAGCCCAGGATGATGTCGGGATACGACGAGCCACTGGGCTTCACAGAGGGAAGAGAGCAGTCTTCCAAACGTTCGGCGTGCTCCCGCTTCGGGCGAATGGATGACATTTTGGGTGGGGTTCGGCCGTTGAGCACTGAGACCGAGGTTCTGCGAGCACCTGGTGTCTGCAGTTTTCCTTCATCCGGCACCCTTCGATGCGCCAAGCAGCCTCCTGCCAAGACTACATCCTTGTAGAGAGCGCCTTGTGTGTTAGCTCGTGTCCTCAAGAAAAGGCTTGTGAGTCTCTGATTCCTGCCAGAGTTCGAAGAGCCCTCCAAAGCTCGGGTCGATGGCCTTTCGAGGCCCTCACGTCGGCTTCTGCCGCGCTCTCTGGCTGCTGGATACCTTCGACTGGCAGCGGGACCGAGGGGTCCCTGAGACAAATGCCCTGTAAAGCTCCGAAGGTGGGGCAGACCATAGCTTTCTGACGTGCCCTCGAAGTTTCCTCTGAAAAAACCGTTCCATCTTTGCAGGGTTGCTGTGACCGTGGCTGGCGGTTTGGCGGGGTAAGGGTTTAAGGAATATATCGGCTGCTTGTCGGTGAGGAAGCGCTCATCATCGACATCGATGGAAAGCTCACAGAGGAGGACCTGGACAGTCCTCCAAAAGCCTGGAGCCGATTCAAGTGCCTATGGCCTGTATATCACACCCAATGAGTTGTCGTGGCCAAGCATTCACAAAACTCCGCGGTGTTGCCCTTGTCTTTGGCGTGGATCTGAGTGGCCCTGGGTTTAGGGTTCACAAATCCCTGTGTCGCACTGCTTCAGCCCTTGGATCAGGCGCTGGCCCACTGGCTTTGAAGCATTGGGGGTGAAGCCTGCTTCAAGATCCGAGGCCCCATGTTCTTCAATCCTACTTGCAGGCAGCCCCAAGCTGCAAAGCTGAAACAAGACCGGGAAACGAGTCCGAGCAACCTCCAGGAGCGTTTGGGCCTCAGGCAGTCCTTTGAGAACCACCTGGACACTGCGCAGACGCTCGGACGGCCCTGAGACGCCCGCGGGAGCACACATCAGAAGCATGATGGAGCATGGGTGGTGGCCTGCATCCCAACATCACATCAGGATGGGTTTCGACCATTTGGCCCCAGTTGTTCGGGGTTGGAGACCCCTGATGTCAGTCCAAGGAAGGATGCCAGCCTCCTGCGCTTCTGGGCCCCGGGCCGAGTGGGAAGATACGGGGTGCTTATGCAGAACCTCTGAGCCTAAATCCTATTCCGATTATACCCGGATCCTAAACCCGAAGTCCTAATCCATGTGATCTTTCTCCTCGTTCCACCCGGCCGGGCCCGGAGCCAAGGTCTCCACTCGCCTCGATCCCCACGCGCTGCTTCTAGCCACGCCGCCGTCCACCGTGGCCGGTTGGCTGAGGCCGGGATTACCAAAAGGGTACCAAAAATCTTGAAAAAACGAATCATTCAAAGTAACATTGCGGTTCATATTCATAGTATATAGTTAGTATTCGTGCAAGTACCAACGCTCACAATAGCAATATTAAGCAAGTTCAGGCTGATACTAGTGTTGTGGTCATTGGTGGCTTCAATACCGAGGTTAACAGCAATGTTAAGATGCTTATTAGTCGTATCATTCTGACTGTTGTTAATATCAAGAATCAAGTATTGCAAGCCCACTACTATGTAACGTTTAATGCCCGTAGTACCATCAAATTAGCATTGTTTACGTCCGTATTTATAGTAGTATAGCTATGCGTACATGCGTTTGCGGACAGGTCAATATCAATATCAGTGTGAATGTCAACAAGAGCAAGCACTGATAATGATATTGTTATGACCATGAACACTAGTTGAATATGGACAGAAATGAATACAACTATGAATGTAATGAAGTTAAGCACATTCGTCATACCCTAAACAGATCTAAAGCTGATGCTGGACTTAGTCTGAGAATGCTGTGAATACCCGTATGAGTGCAATACTACTGCTACAACCTCAAATGGTTCTACATACATTAACATTAACATGAAGGTGCGTGTCCACATGGGCGTTACTATTCGTGTCAATGTTGATCGCAGCCTCAGTAGCGCGCACTAGACTCGCAGGGCTAACCGTGTTAGAACTGAAGCTTATCCACATGCATACTGTTGCTAGTGTTAACATCATCATTGCTGCTGGCAACATCACTGGCACGAATATCGATAGCACCAGCATCAGCAGTAATGTCACGAACACTAGCACTGCCACTAACACTCACTAGCACTTTCATCAACAGTAGCACGAACACTAGCATTAATATACACGCAAACTTGAGCTTTATCAGTAACAACACCAGCGCTAGCAATATGTAGTACTCTTCTTGTAATTGTTATTACCATCGTTGTTCTGCAACTTCAGAGACCCAGCAGAGCCGATCAGCCCGAACCTTAACTGTTGAGGGTTGCAGAAGGCTTGAAGCCAGGTTCGTGGGAGCGAAAGAAGGCTTTGCACAGGGTTCAATGCAACGCTTTGTAATCTCGGGGTTTTGGTCGGCAACCCCAGGGCTTCCCCAAATTCCGGGTCTTTGATCGTTGAGGCGCCGGGCGCAGGAGGCTCTACGAAGCTTTCACGTGCGCCTTTTAGGTTGGGAGCCCAGCACTTTTGAGATTTTTCGGGTAGCCGGAATTAGTATTTGGGTCCGTTGTGTGAAGGATTCCGGTCTGCTGGTCCCAAATGGGGGTGCTTCAGAAACCAGGGACCCCGAATCCAGACCCACATAGCCGGATGTGTGATTCCACTCCAGAGGCCGGGTTCATGCAACCTCTGAGTTCAGAGCAGTTCCGCACAAGAGATCCACCAACCCAAGAGTCTAAGAGCAGGCATCCAAAAGAGCACTAGACCCTAATTCTCCAACTCAGCTGCCAAACCTCCTAAGCCAACCAAACCCCCTTACCCCCCAAACACTATCCCTTAAAACTCCACCCTTGAAGTGGCACCTGCCATGCCAGGCCGGGAAGGTAGCTGGCGCCAAGTCTTCGAGTTGGCTGCTCTCCGAGCAGTTTGGAGGGCTTTAGGGTATAGGAGTTCTCTGGCTTAGGGGTAATGGAGCTGTCATCGGCTATAAGCCAGTCATACTTAGGTTGTAAGTAAACCCGACCCTCCAAGTAGAGTGTATTGAGTTTTGCAGGTTATTGCGGTTCGTGGAGAGGCAATCAGGGCCGTTCTGCAGCTTCGTTGTGAGGTTTCGGGCTTGTGGCCTCATTCCCTTATAATCGCTACGGAGATACCCATCTTGCACGGCTTCTGGCCTGCTCCACGGGAGCGCCAGTCAACTCAGGACACGACCGCCTTTGATGTGGTGCTGCAACTACTGCCGGCACTGGAGGCAGTCAGCACTCCAAACCTCCAAAGCCTGAACGCTGGGCGGAGAAAAGTTACTCCACAAAATGCAGCCAGAATCCTAAACCTGAAAGCCTGAATTCGCCATTCATGGTTCCCAGAACTGCAGCTGCCAGGTTGGCAGCGCGCCTGCTGTGACCCAAAATGGGAATGAGGCAAGGTGACATCTGACCACGCATCTGTGCCGCGATGGGAAGAACCTCCTTCACTGCCTCTCGCTGTGTTGGGTGCGTCTTAGGCTGAAGGCTGCTCTAGCTTTCGGAGACCCTGGAAATGTAGGGCTTTATGGCCCGTTTGCGCGATCTTCACAGAATTGACAAGTCTGGAGGGCTTAGCACTTCTGTAGTGTTTTGGTGTCTGCATACCATGGACCCTGGAACTTCGAATCTTGAGGCTCGGCCACTGTTCTCCAGAATGATGCTCGTGCTTTCGATAGTGCCCAGACCACCATGATGATGATGATGGTTAGGTTTATGACTGCTGCTGCTGCTGTTGCTGTTGCTGCCGCATATACAAGTAGCGAAATCTATGAACCATGACACAGCAGTTTATGGGATATTTACTTGTTTTAGTGGTGCTATCAATCAGCGTGCATCCGTCTAGGACTGTCCATGCCCAGTCTGCAGGGCAAGCGCGAGATACTGCAGATGGTCTCTGCAGAGGCTGCCGATGCGCTCGTCCAAGGCAGCATCCCCCTGTCTTGGTCTCTGCTTTTGCTGCTGTTTGTGTCATCGGTCATGCTTCAGTGAAGCGACTGAAACACGCTTGGCCGATCTTGCCGCTTGTTGCCCCTATCGGCCCAGCATGGTAACGCCGAGGTGTTTGAGGCCTAGGTTTCAAGCTTACAGAACCGCAGCGCGGAGTGTTTGGCGGCAATGGGTTGGCAACGGTCGCTCAAGGAGCGGATTGCTCGATGCGTGAATATCGAGCATCTCGAGCCGGAGGAAGAGCAGGGGCAAGGGATCCTCAAGGCGAAGAGCACTGTTCTTAGCATGGGGCAGCCTGCAAAGGTGGGTGGGATGCTGTGCAAGTCTCCGTGCAGTCTTCAGCCTCTATCTACCCCAAGACACGTTGTCGTGCCTGGCTGCTCATGCTGGTGTGCCTCTCCTGCTTGTGCGTTCAGACTGCGATGGCCCTGCATGTGCAAGAGGTGATAGCAGACATGAACCAACATCTCGTTGAGCAGGAGGTGGACGAGTTTTGGGCATTTTGGTGGCAGTGGCTCTGGCTAAGTTTCTTGCGCTTGCCGATTGAGATAGTGGACGTTGGCAGCCAGGTTCTCCTTCATCAGGACTGGCGGAGGTATCTGACCCGGCGCATGCTTCAACTCTATGTGAACGAGGGCAATGGCTTCTATCGCTTGAGCATGCAGTATGGCAACGTGGATAATCCTGACGAGCGAATCGCGCAGAATATCGCATCTTTCACGAGCACCTCTTTGAGTCTTACCATAAACCTGGCACACGACATCATAATGATCTGGCTGAGCTCCAAGAAACTCTTCTCAATTTCCCCGAAGCTCTTCTACATTCTGACAGCTCTACACTTGTGTCGGAATGGGGTTGTTTGCTGCGCCCCTCATGCGCATTCAGCGACGTGTCCTGGCAGTTGAGGCGAGTCTCCGGTACTGCCTGATGCGCATTCGGGACAGTGCAGAGTCCGTGGCGTTCTTCCGCGGCTTCAAATACGAGTACGAGTGCTGCGCGGAAATCCTGGACTATGCGATATGGGCCGAATACAAGAGAACCAGCATCCGGCTCCTCTACAGCATTTTCACTGTCTTAACCCAAAAGGGGGTCGACCTTGTACCAAAGCTGATTCTGGCTCCTTTCTGCCTGCAAGGCAAGCTGGACTATGGCACCGTTCATTTGGCAGGCTCCTTGTTTGCAAGCGTCATGGATAGCATGATGGATCTGGGCCAACGGCTTCCGCAAATCTCCATCCTCGGAGCGGAAGCTATCCGCGTTGAGGAGCTTTGGGATGCACTGCGAAAGATCGAGGAGGAAGGCAAAGGCGATGATGCGAAGAGTGAAGCCTCTACAGGGACGGATCCGGAGGGCTACTCTGACATCGAGGGCCTGAGCTCTTCCGATGAGGCGGAGGTGGACCTACCGGAGGAGCAACTGCACATCGAGGACATCGACCCTGTGACCTCCAACCTCCGGCTCCAGCTGTCGCAGGTCGGTGATTCCTGGGCTTACATGTCGTGCATGTCATCCAATCTAATCTAGCCATCTACGCCTTAGAATCCAAGCTGTAGCCTGGTCTTCAGTGGCCGTGGAATGCAGCAGGCATTAACGTTTAACCCGACCACGTCCCGTCTCGGAGGTCACACTGTTCCCACCTTTCGGCAAAGCTCCACTTGTGGAGAACCTCTCCTTCGAACTCCTCGACGGACAGTCCCTTTTGATTGAGGGCCCCAGTGGATGTGGGAAAAGCTCGTTGCTGCGGGCCATTGCAGGCCTCTGGGTAAGTGGCCATGGCAAAATTCGCCGAAGCAATCTCCAGAGGTGCTTCTTTGTGCCGCAGACGCCCTATCTCTGTCTCGGCTCGCTTCGAGATAGTCTACTCTATCCGCCTCGAGAAGGTGTGGAGGAGCCAAGTACTCCACTGATCTTCGAGGTGTTGAGCAAGCTGAACATCGACCATCTTCCGAAACAATTCGGCATGGACGCGGAAGTGGACTTGCAGAAGATCCTCTCCGGGGGTGAACGCCAGCGGCTGAATCTCGCGAGGCTTTTGCTCCAACCAAAGGTGGATCTGGCCATCATGGACGAATCGACAGCTGCCTTGGACGAGGAGAACGAGCGCACGGCCTACGAACTCGTGAAAAATCATGTGGGTTGCTACATTTCTGTGGGTCATCGCCCCGGCCTCCTCGCCTGCCACACGCATCGGCTCCAGCTGGTGAAGACCACGAGCGACACTTGTCGTGGAGTGCTGACGGAAGTGGGAGCTGCAGGGCAGCGCGATCGGCGCAGCACTATGTGAGGCGAGCATAGCTCCAGGCTTCCAGCAGAACTCTTCCTGTCATCGATTCTAGATGGACTGTTACCTTGAGTGCGAGCTTCAAAAAGATACCGCAAGTCAGTCCACCAGAACGACTTGAAGCCGATCGGCTGTTCGGCAGACAGCACGTGCCTCAGCACCCAACACACTTGAGACGGCAATCCTCTGCTGCCGTGAAGCTTCCAACGGAAACCCTGCCAGGCCTGCGCGAGAAGCTCTCGCCGTTGTGCCTTGTGTTCCACGATGCGCAGCAGCAAGTTGTGGCCTTGAAATGGAGGCAAATGCATGCAACATGAACTCTGAGAGAACCGACATGTGCCCGGCCTTGTTCGTTAGTCGCCGAGTTTCGGAATGACCCCTTCGAGACGCAAGCTGAAGATGGCGTTGAACGCTAAATCCATGTAATGATGCCGCATAAACCTACAGTATGATACGTGGTGTATTGGCGTATGTATGTGTATATGTATGTATGTAACTATATATGTACATATATAAGTGTATGTGTGTATATTCACATATACATATATACACAAAATGTCCATATACCTACCGCAAGTAAATCCATCCGTCGATCCGTCCATCCATCCATCCAGCCAGCCAGCCATCCATCCATCCGTCACGACAGATAAGCAGGTAAGTAAACAAGTAAAGAGGACGGAAGGAAGGAGGGAAGGAAGCGCGGAAGCATGCAAGTAGCGTTTGTCTGGAAGTATGTGCTTGTGCCTTCACACGCCCTGCGTCAGCAGAGCTACATTTTTGTCATTAGATGTACGTGCGCATGCATGAACGCATGTTTGTTTTTTGTTCCTTGTCTGTGTGTGGACACTCTGCAAAGAAGGCCCAGCGCTTTCCTGCCGCAGCCGCAGAACGCTCCTGGGTTTCAGAGAATGGGGATTGAGTGTTGGGTGAGCCTTGAATTCTAAATTAGGGGTCCCGGTCGCTTGACTCTTGGACTGTCTGGGTATCCGTCTAGATCGGATTTTCGAGGATTTTTCTGGTCCGTGAAGTTGCGCTTTACGGAACCACAGAACAAGCTGTGAGCCTGACGCAGATCCTGCCTAAACCCTTGGACTCGAACTCACTTTCAGGTGCTCATGGGATCGGTTCCGCACACCGTGATCCCACAAGGTGGGCCTTTCCGATGAATATGGGCTCCTGTTCCGTTTCTCCTTGGGAGCTTTTTCAAGGGGGTTGTGGGTATCATGCTTACCGACTGAGGGTATAGCTTCAGGGGTTTGGGATGCAGAAAAGGACGGGACTGTTTTGACGTCAGCGGCTTCAGTATAAGAATAGTTGTGGGGAGGGGGGGGGGCGGGTCCATACCTGGTGTCTTGTTTGCGCTCCAAAGCGCAGAGCTGAGAAGTTAGTAAACGGAGGCTTGTGACCTGTTCTTACAAACCCAACTAGCAGGTTTTCATAAGAAGGCATTGCACGAGTTCTTACAACCAACTCACAAGCTTTTATAAAGACAGTTGACAAGATATCTAGGTTTTTGAGACCCTGCGCTTCACTATAGTACTGCCTAACGGAAGAATGGGCCACAAACGGTGGCAGTCATCCATGTGCCCCTGTGTGCAGGGTTGAGGCTTGAGGACAGGCGTCTTTCATTTGGGCGCTGCGTTTTCTAGTTTGAGAAAAGTGAAATCTTTTGAGGTCCAGAGTCGCCAGATCAAACTCCCTAAGGCCGAACCTCATGGTCGCAGCTTGCAACCCTGTCTCACTGAAGCCTCAAGCCGGTACCCTCCGTGCTTGGAAAACCTTCGAACTCCCAAATCCCAGAGTCTTTGAGTCCTGGCGACTCTGAAGCCTAAAGAGCGGACTCCTGCACCCCGACCCAGGCCTGAAAACCTGAGCCTCGAACCCCCAGACCTCCCTTGAAAGTAGAGCTGGAGCCACAAGACAACTAGAAGAACAGATTTGCGGAAAGCGCCGGAGGTCCCGGGGAGCCGCCCTTATGCGTGCCAAACGTTCTCTGCATTCTGGCCACGGTGTCGGCCATGGCAGAGGCATCGGGTTGAATGTCAGAAGCTCACATCGCTACAAAATCACGCAGTTGAGTTTCAAAATTCATACAACCTTGCGAGACCCTGAAGCCCTCAGCCTTTAGCAACCGGGGATGTGCAGCTAATGGTTGTAGGATGTCAATTTGTCAAGTATTCCGTGCGTGCCAAGAGCAGACGTTTCTGCCGATTCAACTTTCGAAGAGACACGGTCGGCACCATCGGACTGTGAAATTTGCCAGACTGACTAAACTCCACGTGTTATCGAACTGATTTCGGCATGGCCTTCCGAGAGACTGCTGGCTAAACGCATAAGCGCAGACACTTTAAAGCCCTACACATACCCCCAAATCCGGCCAGGGAATGACACTGAGCATGGAGGTCAAGCAAGCGCTGTGAGACAGCAAAAAGAGGCCGTGGTTCCGCGGTTGCGTTCTGAGGGATAGGATGGAGTTGTTTTAAAAGTGGATGAGGGCTTAGGCTTAGGGTTCAAGGGGTCAGGGTCAGGCCGGGAGCAGCAGAGGCTCACAGTTTCCCAAACTGGGTTCTCAAAGAGGCGCCTCATAGAGCCAGAGCCAGAGCATCGTCCTGGCGAAGGCCTTGCGGCTCAAGAAGGACGGAGGTCTCAAGCAGAAGTCAGCGTGTCTGCGCATGTATGGACGTAGAGATCACTTCGGAGAGTCCTAGATGGCCTTGTACGATATGTGCAGGAAAACCCTAGGTTCCATCCGATGAGTGCAAACGAAGAGAATGCAAGACAGAGAGAGCGAGAGAGCGCATCCCCCATGCCCGGAGAAGAAGACAGAGAGAGGGGGAGGGAGAGAGAGAGAGAGAGAGAGAGAGAGAGAGAGAGAGAGAGAGAGAGAGAGAGGGAGAGGAGAGAGACTCAGAGAGCGAGTGGGAGAGGCACTTGAAGTACGCATACTGCCTTCATGACCCTTCATTAGTCTGATAGCTGCAGATTGATATCTTCTGAAGCCCACAACGCGTGGCGTGTTTCTGCCATGCTCTTCAACGCTGTGGATTCCTGGCTGGAGCGGGTCACGGGCGGCCAGGCACGGCTTGCTATGGAGGTTGGGGCCACGGCTTTGAGTCCGAATCCTTCAGGCCAAGGCCCTGAGCCCTGAGGTGAAAAAAAGACGATCTCACGTCCAAGGTAATGCCATCGATCTCCCAACACACGGTAAAGAACTTCCGAAGCACCCCCGCCCACTTCTTCATCCAACTACTCGCAAATACAAAGCATCCCAACGAGGCCTCAACCGCAGAGCTTTCAAGGGTAAGAAAGCCATAGGAACAAACTGCAAACCCCCTTAAATCGATGCGTCTCGTACTCCCTAATCCTTTACATAAACCTCCAGGCCCTCTGAGCCCCTTGAAGTCCCGAAAGTCGGAGAAGTTTCGCCGCACAGGTTCGACGGCCAGGGCCAGACGACGCTCGGATCCTCCTAGGACTCCTAGGAGTCGTTCTTGAGTTTGGGCGTAAGGATGGGGGCTTGAATAATTAGCTACAGCTCTTGTGCGCAGTACATCGGTCGTACAGCGCAAACACATGCATGGCACACGAAGCTTTTGGATCGCCCCGGACTTCGGCAGAGACGGAGGAAGGTCGTTAGAAGGCTAGTGGCCTAATCTCTGTTTAGGACGCGTCACTCAGAAGTCCTTCTGTGCTGGAAAGACACGGCTATTCTTCTCATTCTAGGATTCCAAACTGTAAAAAGAGGGAAAGCTCTTCGCGGCTTGCTTGCGGCTCTGACTTGGTTTCTTTGCCTCTCACCAAACCGCGCCAATGGGTCGTTGATGACGCGCTCGTCTGCTCCAACTTTTACTTTTTCTTCGCAGAAAGCGCCAGGCTCGCTCTCCCCTCGGCTGTTGCAGGGGTTCGGCGTAAGCATGTGCAGCTCAGGCTTCATGACTTGCAGGTTAGGTCGACACACCTTATCGCTGGTACTCGCGTCAACGAAGAGGTGCCGCGTTTGCTTTTCGTACAAGAACTAATGTACCGCAGGTTAATTTGAATGGTCGTTGCAGTTCCACTAAAGCGGCTCTCATCGTCATCTGTGACGGTGATCGACGGTGTTGCTCGACTTTTTCTCTCCTGTCGTGCACGGTCGTCGGCAATCTGCCTCTCGCAGCACATTCTTCGTGGAAAAGTTTGTCTCACCCGCCTGTCCTTCCCCTTCTATCAACTTTCATTCCTTCCTTGTTTTCCATTGACCCATTCACGGTTTGGTCGGGATGGGAGTGGACGGTCTGATTGGGGTCTCGCCTGCGAATGCTGCTGCTGTGTCGGTTGAGTGGTGGGAGCTTCTGTTTCTGATCACGATCGCTTCCAGCACAGCCGTGTACAAAATGTTTCGGTGCAATCTTGTGTGGGTGAGCACCATATGTAATGCGGACACATAAATGACTCGCGAAGCTTTGGGATCGTCGCCTCCAGCGCAGCTGCGTGCAACATGTTCCGGTGCCTGCGTGTATGTGTGAGCACTGCTGATCATTGAGTCCCCTGAATTTTGAGTAGGAAGTTGATGATCAGAGCTTTCGGGGTTCGGTCTGGGAGTGGTTTTTGCTCCGCGTTTGGGATGTGTCTTTGGATGTTCTTTGGTTGAGGGTTCCACGAGTTTCGCAGGTGCGTGGCAGAGGTCAGGTAAGTTACTGGGTTTGTAAACGAGAAAACCACGCCCTCAGCCGAGGAGAAGGAGTGCATGCAGTGTAGGGTCCTGGGTACGGCCGTTTTCGGCGCCGCGGGGCTTCATTCGGCCATGGAGGCACTGCTTCTGCTTCGGCTGCAGCGAGGTTTCTTCTTTCGGTTTTTGAATGCTACTGTTGGGGCGTACGGTCCGGTGTTGATGTTTTGAGTTGGTCTCCCTGGCCTCAAAGTTGTGTGACTCAAACGGAAATGTGTTTTTTTTCGCAATCTTCTGTTGCCTTAGTGCGACGCTCGCAAAGACTTTTTGCGCGAACCCGCCATCCGAGTGGGCC